CTCAGGGCCTTTTTCCTACCAGGTTGAAAGAAGCGAAAGAGGTCAGCAAGCCACTCTCAAGCTGCCTTTGAGAGGCTTGTTGATGCTTCCTATTCCCAGTAATTACAGACTTTATGTGCCTTTTGAGACTAGGTACAGAGCAACTCAAAAGATTATTTGTACCATCAACTTACTTCTTCTGTCATGGTTAACTCCTATTGAGTCACTGGTCAGAAAGTAAAAGAGAATCACAGAATCAATTAGTTGGAAAAGACTTTTGGATCATCAAGTCCAACCTATGACCTAACACCACCTTGTCAACTAATAGTGCATGGTATGTTTTTGACAAGCCCCACTGTTTCCAATACCAAAACAATGAAGTTGGGCCAAATCCCTTGACCCTTCAGGAAGATGTGCACTGCATCTATAAGGCTTCAGGAAGTGACCATTCTTTTTGGAGTTTGAGTAAAAAAGACAGGGGCCAAGCAATTATTCCACAAGTTTTTCTCTGGGTCTCCCTTTTTGGTTCCCCTCAGTGAACAGAGGTACCATTTCTGTTCGTTCTTTCCTCGCCCTCTATACTCCCCTAGCTTCTGCTCTGCTTCTGGGGACCTCTTTCTGACTTACTGGTTTACCCATCACAGAGCACCTGACTTCTTTAATATCATACATGAAGCTTTATCAGAGCTGATGCAATAAACTCTCATGTAATTTGCAGAATTTGAGATTAAATATACCCACCCATCCGCTTAAAGTTAAGCTCACAGGCAGTGAACATGTCAGACCATCTACAAAGAAAAGGAGTGTGGGCAAGCTGTACATGAAAACTGCCCTGTTAGAAAAAGCTGCCTCTGGCTGCTAACAGACATCCAGTCCTTCTGACCTGCAGTATGAAGGATACCTGGGGACTCATTCCAAATCCAGATGTTCTCTATCTGTTTCAGGGCTGCATTCTCAGGCCTTCAAAATCCTAAGAAAGTATTATACATGTTTTTTAAGCATTTATTTTTTATTGTAATTGCCATTAATTTTTTTTTGGTGTTGCTTTGCCATTCCTGTGCACTCAAGGGTTGCTCACTTAGTCTCAGACCATCTGTCACTCTGCATCCCTTTCTAACTCTGGAGTATGATGTTTGTGGGCTCTCCCTTTTGCTGAATTTTTAACAGACAGCAGCCCAAGTATAATGCTGCTGTTGGCTTTGGCCTTTAACAGACTTTGTTGAATAAGTAATGTTTAGAAAACATTTCCCTCTCAGATATCTCTCACTCTTTGAATTTGATAGCATTAGATCTTTTTTGTTCTTACATGTAAGTGTAATATTGCTACATTTTTCCCTCTGTGAGGACACTCTTTCTGGAGTTTGCAAATACAGTTAACAAACAGACTTTTTAAAAAATCTTTTTAGTTTATACTGCAACATTTATTTGAATTTCTATTTTTCAATATTTGCTGAATTTGAAAATCTTATTTTTTTGGTTTACATTGCATGACAAGTTCTTAAAGTATCTAGGATTGTTTTACTGTCCTCTGTATGAATGTATGCATTGTTCTAAATGGAATTATTATTTTGCCTTCCATAATCAGTAGCCTAGCATGGACAGGGGCATCTTGGTTCTGTGGAGACCTGCTGTGATGAAGCAGCCTAGGCCAGTCAGACCAGACAACAGGAGGGTGCTGGAAATGCAGATGTGATAGTGCTGCTGTACTTCCTGAAGAATAGCAGTCTGGAACATGAGACATATTCTCTATTAAAAACTCTCTGAATAGGTGTTGGCATAAACTAAAAAAATTTCAGCATCTTGCTTTGGCAAGGCAGTACTGCATTGTTAAGGGAAAACAAGAGGGAACTTCAGCTGATTTATTTATGTATTATAATCCCAACACTCAGCAATGAGTTTTTAAAAGGCAGCAGTCCCTGGGAAAGGAGTCCAGAACACAACTTATCTGACCTAGCACGCTTTACTACCTCATTCCTGAAATCTTAGCATTTATGATCCCCATTCATCAGAAACACCATAAATGAAATGTTTTAGCATGTTCTTTTGCTGCCATATTTTCTGTTCACTAGGGTGAGATCAGAAATGCTGGACTTTATTTATTTCTCAAGATCAGAAAGGAAAAGATATCCTAGTATTTGACACAATGTTCAAAGTAAAGAGATTAATAAAGTTGAGGGCTTTTTGCAATAGCATGAAAAATTCTGTATTTAAACAGATCACTCCCACCACACAGAATAACATGCCTTTTGTTCAGAGATTTACCATGTTTAATTAGTCATTTTTTCAGTATCTTAACCATGTTTTCAGTTAAATAAAGTAATAAACAAAAGTGTTCAAAGTGAGGCAATATTGTCTTTATGTTACTTTTAAATTGTGATCAGATATTTGTGGGACATGGAAAACTAAAAAAAAAAAAATAAAAAATAAAAAAAGAAGTACATAATCTTTGCTTCTCTAGCAATATTTCAGTGCCAAATTCTGCTCTCAGGTAAATTTCTACAAAGCATTGTTCATAACAGCATCACAATACAAGGGCATGTTCATGGATTTGAAAAGTGCCAAAAGTCAGTAGTTGTTCTCGTTTCTTAAAGGCTCAGTACACACCAAGTGAAGCCCTGGTGCCTGACTCGTATCACCACACTGCCCTATTTTACAAGCAGCCACAGAATCATTCCTCTCCAACAATCTGATTTGATTTCAACAGATAATAATTTGGCTATTTTTTATTTTTTTTTTAAAGTTCAATTTGCCTGCTTCAACAAATGAGAGCACAATTTGGCTGCTTTCTCAGGGAAAAGGAAGCCAACCAAACATGACTTTCACCAGGCCTCAGTTTTTGGCCCCAGATTTCAACATACACTATTACAGCAATCAAAAGAACCATAGAAATTACTTATTTTACTGTTCCTTAACACATATCACACAGTCCTGCAGCAAGCAGAATCACAGATGAACCTCAGAACATACAGAGAGCACAACTACTACACTGGACATGAAAAGGAAATTTTATTAAACATGTTTACATAACATGAGTTGGAAGTTCATTTAAAAGCACAGGGGAGTGTTAAGACAAGTGGTCAAAATAGAAAGATACTATCGAATTATAGCTAGTTGGTTTTTGGCCACTAAGACAAAACAGGATCTAGTAGTAGTGCACCAATGCTTGAGTTCTTCCTGCTCAGCAGGTCGAGCAGTAACCAATCTGTGCCCTATGGAAAGATGGGCAGAATAATTCCCATGTGTTGAGTAATAATAAATAGTTCACTTGGTGCAGGCAGTATGTCTATGAATTAAAACCTAGTGTGTACACAGTTTCTACATGTGTTACAGCCCCACAGTAGGAATCTACACCAAAATAGTTATTAGAAGGAATTTGGTCCGTACTACATCACGTTTTCCATAGGGTAAAAAATAAAGTCCATCTATAGACATTTAGCACCAGACCCACAGACCTAGCCTGGCTAAAACCTGCAAAATGTCTATAAGAAAAATGGATGGCTTAGATTTCTTGGTTACTTCAGTATAGTAATTACGAGCAAACTGTACAAGTACATGCAACATACAAGCTGGCCTATGTGGAACTAACATACATTATTAAATAACCTTTTTCATCTCTTTTTACAAAACGTGCATGCAGCTTTGAACAGTTCCAAGTCATGCTGCTCTATTTGTGTGATCACAAAATTGAATGGCCTGTAAAAGGAGGGGAAACATATCAATGCACCTGCAGGAATCTGCAGTTCTTCGCACATTTACAGAATATCACAAGGGATTTCAAGGCCAAGAAGAACTCAAATGAATAAAAAGCAAATTGAAATTTGATTTTTTTTCTCCAAAAAGTAAGATATCTTGCGTTAAAAAATCAAGCCTTGTGCTTGCATCAATCTCAAAGAAATGTAAACTAAAATTTGATAAAAACATTAGTAAGTGCAGAATATTTCAACTGGAATTTCCAGTGAAACAGTGAACAACTCATACCATGCTCTATCCAGGGCAGACAGGTGCGTCTGAAGCGACACACATCAGAGAAGCCTGGGTACAGCTGAAAGTGTCATATGCTCAATTCATTCCTGGTCAACATTTTGGGAAGTCAAATATACATTTATACACAGAAACATAAGTATTTCCTCTCCATTTCTAGGAGGAAAATTGCATTACCAGTAACATAGTCAATGTCAAAATTAAGACTAAAGCTGCTTTATACCAGTCCCCAGCAGTAGTTGCAGAATTCTTCAAAATTCTTCCATGCAAAACATCATAAACAGAAAAGTTATTTTATAGATATATATAATGCAAATGTATCTGCTTTTTACAAAGAAAAAGTGGCACTGTGATGATTTTTAATTTTAAGAGCGTAACATAGATTGGTCATTTGTTCTGGGTTCCCACATGACTTGTAAGTACCAGAACTGAGAAACTATTTGAACTCACTGGAATTGTAACTGTGGCTGTTGAACACTTTAACAATGCTTACAGAGATATGCTTCAGCCCTTTTTTGTTTGGTTTAGAAAAAGAAAGGAAGGGTCTCTGTTAGCATTGTGAGGACTTCTACAAAACTAGCATAATCATGTGGCAAAAAACTAGTGGAAGTGACAAGTACAGAAAAACTGCTGAAACACCAGGAAGGTAACACTGCTTGAGGGCTCTCTCAAAATGTGAAAAATACAACATTGTTAACACAGTGAGAGCTTCCAGTTTGGGTCATCTTTGACTTAGGTCGAATCAAAAGGTCCCTCTCTTTTTTCTTTTTCCTTTCTTTCTTTCATTTTTTTTTCTTTTTTTTTATTTATTTTTTTTAATCATTATAAGCATCAGTGATAGCTGCTAATAGATTAGCTGTATGTGATACACCTTTGTTCTGTCAATTTAAGCCATCTCTCAACAGACAGACATATGTTTGGATAACTACTACAAGCAAAAACGGAAGTGATTGTCTCTCTCCAACAGTGTTTCTTGATCATGTGAATGTCTGGTTCCAACTGTTATCCTGGGTGATGTTTTGAATAGACAGCACCTGCTACTATGATCTAATGCAGGGAGGCCCAGTTGAACTTTCCAGAGATGACTGGGAAGCCCTACGTGTCAGGGGAGTCAATGTTGGATCCACTAGTGATGAAGGTGGAAATAATTTATACCAGCCTATTACCACACTGGACAGATCCAGTTCCTCCAGAAGGATCTGGGCAACTCCCATGAAGCATTTGTGGTCCATTCGGCCGTAGTCTCCCCAAACTATTACCTGGAAGAACATAAAATTAAGGTTCATGATTGTCCCCAAATCCATGCTTATAAAGGAGTATATACTTAAACCCGTGCTGATGTATGTTCACTCTTGCTATTATATGTGTTAGCATAAGGAAAATGTTATTCTCAAGAGTGAGTGACTGCTTCCCTTTCATGGGGAAACCTTATGGCAGGACAGGAGCAAAGTCAACAACAGAGAAACGTTTAATGCAATAAGACATTTTGCAAGTCTGAAACCACAAGCAACAAGGATGTATTTAATGGTATTTATAAAATTAAAGGCTTAGTGAGTTGGAATGAATTTACACATACTGGTTAAATTTAAGTAAACATGCAAGTGATTCCCCAAATGACAGCCTAAAAATGGGATTAAGAAGAAACTGACCTGAAGGACTTTACCCTGTGGACTTTCCTCAAAAACCAGTGTCTGTTGGTACAGAGGATCTAGCGTCTTCCTTGCAATTCTTGTCTTCTTCTTAGCTATACATGCTCCATTTTCCAGTAAATACACTTTGACATATGGAGCTGCAAACAGAACATCAAGAATGTTATGTTTGGACTTACAGTGCACATCTGAAATGGAGGACAAATGCCTTAAAAGGAAGCAGAGTAGAAAGAAAATGACACATGTTATTTTCATTTTATCTTTGCAGTTGCATAATCTGAATACAATTATTTTAATAAAACAGATGACACAGCCCACAAGAAATCAATTTGATTTTTATAAACTTTGAATGTAATGATCTAAGATGTTACTAACAACAATTACACTTCATTTCTGTCATTTTAAAAACATTTTCTTTTTCCAAGAATTAGCTGTCAGTGACAGCTATTCCAGAGTCTCTCTAAATGCTTAGGGTCAGAGATAGTTCAGAGCAAAAGGAATATTTAAAACTATGCCACTCCAATGACACAGACATGAATTGTTCTTTCATCTCTAGCTCTTGAAAAGTACAATTTTCTCTAAATGTTAGCTAAAAGAATTGTTCCAGGTGTTAAAATAAGCAGTGTCGTGGTATTGATTCGAAATCTCCTCTAATAGTTGTTTCTATAAATAACTAGAACTTCAACAAATGTCCTTATAAAATGATACAATATTATTACAAAATACATTATGCAGATCATTGACACTGACAGTAACACTAGTTCAAGTGGATGCCTTCTTGAAGCATTGTTGTGTACAGTTTTTTTCCATACCTGGGGTAGATTTGGAACCAGGTTTTTGTGTGAGGCCACGGGCTCTAATGACTTCTACTTCTAACTGGCCTTTTTTATCCACCATTCCAATCTGGATGTCACCTGAGAGGGAGAAGAAAGAAGCCCACATTTTAGAGAAGCAGCACAGCGCAGGAGATAAGGTGTAAGAGTGAGAAAGACTAGTTTGATATAATTCTTCGGCATTACTTTGCCAGTTGTGTCTCCTGATGATCCCTTTAGATTCTCCATCCTTAAACAAGGACTACACAATATATACTTAGGGAGCATGGTGCCCTCTCTTGGTATGCAGTTCATACCAGCTAAAAAGAGGTATTTTTTTCTTCAAAAATCTCCACCAAGCACACAGGTGACAGTTTTTCCGTTTTTATCAATATTCCACACACATTTTTGGTGTGATTAAAATGTCACAATATCTTAAAAAAACAAACTGCTTTCATTTCTAAATAGTCAAACTTGTTTCCTTGCCTGAGTTTTGATAAATGATATTTCCTGCAGAAAGAGGAGACTGCTTACTCTGAGACCAAGCTCTGTTCTGATACAGATCAAAAAAATACAAGGGCAGTAAACTATGTGCTGATGCTCAAAACGTTTTATCTTTATGCTTTCCTATATCATGGAATCAGCTGACTAGAAATCTAACTTAGGTTAAAATAGATTAAAATAGGCCATTTAGGTTAAAAATACACAGTATGACATGAGCAGTTACATGACACTTGAGCAAATAAATGAACTACATTCACAAAACACGTTGTATTTATTGATATGTTGATATGTAAGTTCTGATTGTCTAAAAAACCAAATTCACAAATAGATGACCCTGAACTATAGAATTTTCAGTCTGGATTTAGAGAAACAGCATTTTGAAATTAATTTGGCATGAGATTTTCACGTTTCCCTAACAGCATATTAAAACTGTTTATACCTTGGTGTGTGAGGTATGACAGAACAGCAAAGAAGAATTTTTTATCAATTAAACTTTGCTTGAATAAACACAGCCGTGTTTTGCACTAAAAAATAGTTCAGAGGGAAAATTCCAACAAAAAAGAGCACATCTCTGTAATGCATATCCAGAATAAAACATGCAACAGGTGACCAGAAGGGGGAGCGATAATCCAAACATTTTCAATTCATCCCTAGTGAAAGGATACCATAGAGCAGGTCTTCTAAAATTTTTTAAAAAAACATAGTGGAGTGCTTTTTGGGGGCCAAAATTTGAGCCCATAGTAGATAAAGTTCTAAAAAAGTCAAAATAAACTTTTTCTCAAGTTATCTCCAGAAAAATCTTTAGCCACAAAACAAGATTAAAATAAAGAAACAGAAATGTAGACCCTTATATGCATACCAATAAAGACATTTAGATATTAATTGGACAAATAAACTCACTAATACATTTTCATTCAAAATAATAATAAAAATGTAAATTTAATAAGTTTGATGTTGATGAATGCTTTAGTAGCAGTCATTTGGATTTATACAGCAAGGTTTGCCTTAGAGGAACCTCAGAGCATTCTCAAGATAGTTTTCCTTCTGCTTATGGGTTGGAAAGGTAACACTGTCTTTTTCAATTTTTTTATCTTTCTGTTTCTCTCCTTTTTCTGATGTGCCTCAGTAGCCCTTCCTAAAGCTCAGTTGTATTGAAGCATTGACCATTTATAATTTCCAGCAGAAGTATTACTACAGTAGTGGATCTGGGATTCCTCAATTAGCATCCTAAAGCATGTCTAAGAATTGCCCATTGTCACAGTATTGTCATGTTACAGCCCATATATAAGCAAAAAACCCCAACCCCAAATCTTTCCAAAGATACTTACACAGTTCTGCACTCTTGCACTCCTTATATAACTCATAGTCTGTTCATAAACAAGCTACAGCTAATGCTGCTAAAGGAAATTACAGACTGGTCTGGAAAATAGAGAAGATCACAGATAGCCTTCAGCAGCTGTTGTAGAAAAGGATTTTGTGTCTCTCATGACAAGCACTGGCTTTATCAGTGACTGATTGTTGGGCATTGCAAATTTTTCCAGAAGTTTCACTTTCTTGAATTAGATGAACTAAGCTTGGAAAAGTGCTGTTTCACCAGAAAACCCTCTGTCACATCCAATATAATCTCTGTCAAGTAAATACGAACCCTGAACAGTTGAGATTTTGCAGCCAGCTACATTTGGAGAAGCCACAATAATTTTGTCTGGGAAGTAAAACCCCTATCTTCAAATTTCAAATAAGATTAGTCAATACTTCAAATGGAGCAAATACCATTTCTCACCCCACTTTGGGTGCTGCCATGATAGGAACACTGGTGACTGCAGAGGGGACTTTCATGTTGACAATGAAGGAAGACACTTGGTAAAAGTCCTTTTGGTGCTGTAGTCTGGCAGTGTATGCATTATTTAATTGTCTTATAATTCATTTAACAGATGAGAACATATAGTTCTTACCCATGGCAGGGGTTGCTAGTGTTTGTCGGCCTACTAACTGTGCAGGTCCCAGTCCATCGAGGAAATCACTGAACTGACTGTCAGCGCCCAGCCGTACTCCAGGAAATATTAAGCTGAAACAAAATAGAAGCTCATTAAGCATAAGAACAGGATTCATTTCTGTCGTCCTACAGTGTTTACCTCAGAAGTACTACTGATCCAAAGCAAGCAGCTCAGGATACACAACCACAAATCATTCTGCAGCATCAGGAATTATATGTTTCCCAAAGACCCTAAAGCAGTGTAGAGAAATTCTGCACATCAATTCTAAGTCGTCCATAAATTAGGTCTTGCTAAGGACCAAGAGCAGTGAAGAGTCTGATAGGTAAATAGACTGACTTTGTATGAGAAAACAGAAAAAGCTTAATGAAATTTAATAGCCTATCCTTCGTTAGTGAATGTGTGACTTACATAGAGCCAAACCTCATCTGCATCAGGTAGAACAGGGAAAACAGATGTATACACTAAATTAATCTGATTGCTGCAGCTGTTTAATGAAGCAGTAAACTGGAAGGTAGTAGCAGTAGTGGTGATTAGAGCTAAACCTAATGCCACTCTTCAAGCCAAAATATTCTGGCGGACAAATCTGGCTCTACAGTTGCTACCCACCCCTCTCTCATGATGCAAACTGAACTTTAACACATCAGCGCAGGGTATAGTGGAAACATTCAAGGCCAGGTTAGACAGGGCTTTGGGCAACCTGATCTAGTTGAAGATGGCCCTGCCCAGGGGTTAGTCTAAATGACCTTTATAGGTCCCCTCCAAATCAAACTATTTTATGATGCTATAATGTGTACTTTGCCAAGCTGCTTTCTTATATTCCATAGTGCCCACTTTTTTTTTTTTTATGTATATACAGTCTCCAAACAATAACCAAAGACAGAAAACAAAGTGAGAGAGAATGAGTGACCCATGGTGGGACAGCTCAGCTTTGACTTCCTCGTAACAATTATGAGAAACAAAAGAACAGACTCTGAACCAAGTCTAGACAACATATTCCCTAGCAGGCCATCTACCACTCTGTATCTTCTTCCTCACAGGAAATTCCCTATTAGACTGCAAAAATAATAAATACTTCCTAATAAAACCAAAAGCATCTAGTGTTAGAAGCACTGATTTCTGCACATCAGGCTTGTGTACTTCAGCCATTCAATTCACAGACCCAGCAGTTGCATAGAAAAAGTCCATTCCTCTCTCGAAGACTAACTGTTCTTCCTATGCCTGCATAAAATATTGACTTGTCTGTGACTGAAGCTGGTCAGAAAAATATCACAGAATCATAGAATAGCTTGAGATGGAAGGGGGTCACAAGGATCATCAAAGTCCAACTCCTGACCCTGCACAGGACAGCCCTGAAAATCTCATCAAGTGCCTGAGAGCATTGCCCAAATGCTTCTTGAACTCTGTCAGGCTTGATGCTGTGACCACTCTGGACAGAAAAACTTTTTCTAACATCCAACCTAAATCTTCCCTGATTCAGCTTCATACCATTCCCTTGGCACAGCATTTTTTTTTTCAGAAAACTCTTTATTTTCCAAAAGGTAAGCTTTTTCACAGAAATTTCATTTTAAATTCTTGTGGGTTTTGTTTTTGTTTTTGTTTTTTTAAATATGGTTTCTTTAGATGGAGGAGAAAAAGAATCTCAGGGTCTCCAGTTCAACACCAAGATATGATCTGCCTCTCTCCGCAGCTGCACTATCCTTTCACTCTTGCCTCTGCTATGAGAAGTTTCTTGCTTGTTTCATTGGCCTTTTTTCCCAAAATATGTTACATTTTACCACAGGTTGACTAACATTGAAAATACTCACTTGAGAGCACACTTCTAGCTATACATATGACAATGAAGGTTGGACGTACACATTCATCTTGATGTGTATTAATTCTAATTCATTAAATTTCAGTAAAGGGTCAAACGAAAGAACATGACAAGGTACCTAGGGTGCAAGCACTCTTGTTTACTTCTCAAGCTTGCTTTCCTCACTGCCTTACTCAGAGGCTGATTCTCAAATCAGCAATTTATGGCTCTACCTTTCTGTCCTCCAGATGCCTGCTGTGACCTTCAGATCCAGACCTTGGCTGCCCCAGCCTTGCCAAATCCATTTACACACAATAAGGGTGGAACAGAGGATTAAGCTGTTCCACTGAAAATGCCTTCACCCTTAGTGCTGGGCTCCTACCTTTCCTCTCCACTGCTAACCAGGGAAACAGGCTCCCCCAGCTCCTCCCTAAAGGGTCCAGCCTACTGGCCCTTTGTCACCTTTGTCACCAGGTCTATAAAAGTGCATTTGTTCACCCCACTTTCCTTTTTATTTGGGGAGTCCTCTTCTAAGAATTCCCTAGTAAACACTATACTTTGACACATGCAGTAGAGTCCCACTGAGAACTGTGAGGATGCTGGAACATTCCTTCACATTTTTGTGTCGTAACTGCCTTTGTTCTCCTTTCCTACATATCAAATTGTTCAGCAGTAAATGGAAACAGCTGCCCCATTCCCCACAGCTGTCTGTCTGACTTCAGATGACGGGGCAGCTGGGCTCTGGGTTTACTGTTCTTAATAAGAGACTTGGAACAAATCCAAATTAAACTTTCTTTGTATATGGTATTACTGAACAGAGTTTCATGTCACAGGGATTCACATATGACATCTGAAGTTTAACTCTGAGTTAATCCAAACATATCTCAAAGAAAAAGTATCCCTGTGTTTTGTTCTGAATAATGCAGCTTTAATTTAGTCGTCTTCTGATGAAGAAAATGCCTCCCTGAATGACAGGGAAAATAAGAATTCTTAAGAAGTCCTGTCTCAATTTCAATTTCCATGAAATTTGCATTATGTACCTAAAATAGTTCAGTTTTTCAAATGTTTCAAGCAGAAGAATCTTTACACAGAGCTATCCTCTTCAGCTAGAGTTTAGGACATCTCAAGTAATGGGAAAGAAACTTCTACTACATTAGAAACTTCTCCTGTATTACTGATATTTTTAATGCCACTTACTTGCCCTCGGAGCTGTAGCTATTTATGCTGCCATCAGTGGATTCTCGACTTGGCTGTCGAACCATACGACTTCTCATCTCTGCTGCCATTCCTGTTTCTGTGCTTCTCTGTATCGTGCTCTTTAGCTTCTTGCTGCCAGCCTCTGAAAGCAGAGAAAAAGAAGCAACAGTTAGAATGACTTAAAGCAAAGCCTTCCCTTGCAGTTTTTACCCAAGAACAGTGATACGACTTGGTCACAACTAACATAAAAAAGACTATTCTGAAGAATCTTATGAAGATTGAAGAAGCAATCTCTCTTCCTCAGCTGCAAACTGGAAATGACTTCTCTTTAAATGGCTGCAACCTGAAGATCTTCATTAGGGCAAACTGTTAGGAACTGAATGTCTTGTTAACAGGCTTTACACAGTTGGAATGTAGACAGGTTGTGATAATGTCTACTAGCCACACACTTGGTGATGTGCCTCTAGCCACCTTGATAGGCTGGGTGACTGCAAAAGAAGATACAACTCTCATAGAAAATAAAAAAAGGGAAAAAATCAAATTTTAGCATCAAAAATGTAATAATGTCTTTTGACTTGGCAATATATTACTATTCACCACAAAATGTCTTCAAAGTAAACAAGAACATTTGATCTCAGCAATTCCAAAACAGAAATAACTCTTGGGGAAGTTTTTGGGAAACCACAGAATAGTCAAGCTGGACAGGACCACAGTGGAGTGGTCTGAAGGAGTGTCTGGTCCAACCTCCTCCCTGCTTCCTAGAGCCCATTGCACAGGATTGTGCCTGGACAGTTCTGAATATCTCCAGTGAGGGGACTCCACAACCTCTCTGGGAAGTCAGACTCTAGGCTTGCAACTGTAAGGCTAGAAAGTAATGTAAATGCTTTGAAACTGTTTAAAGACTTCATCCATTTGATAAAGCTTCTATGCCACATCCTTTAAAATGCAATTTGATTTTCACCCTGAAGTTTTCATGTTTCCCTTGAGCAAGAAGACCTTCCAGTCATTCACAGCTTCTCTATACATTATGGCTGATCTAGAGTGAATTCTGCTGTCACAGAGATTATACTTCTAGATGATGATAGTTTTTCGCGATGATCTTTAAATTTCTTCCACCAAAGCCTCTATGTGACGTAACATGTCTCCAAGTTCAGTGTCCTGGTCTTTTTCAGTGAGTTCAAAATAGGTACCCCAAAGTTCAACGGGTAACATAACTTTCTCTCAGAAAGTAATAGATTTGACAAAGTTCCACGGAAGTACATGCTAAAACATTCCTCTGCATTTGCCCCTTCATTTCAGTGCTCTTTTATTCACCTCTGGAAAGTCTGCAAGCATCTTTTTCATGGTCTGCTCAGGGAAAAGAGCTGAACAAGTAAATATTTCTTCCATCCCCACCTGTTGTGGTGACTGAATTGCTCTGAAAAGTTTTTCATCTTCCTGTTTCACAGGCACATTGTTGATGTTTGAAACTGACAGATCATGACAGATCTTATTCATCACAATAAAACTTTTGACTTTCGTAGCCCCCACAGAGCCTGCCCATTCTCCAGGGTGTATAAACATGCCGCAGGGATCAGCTGGCCCTTGCTATTTGGATCTGCAGAGCCGGTGGAGGGCAAGGAGAAATCATACCATACAGCTATCACAGTAACCTCTTTGAAGCTCTCTCAGGGAAACAGCAAACATAGCCAAAGTGAAAGAATTAGTATATTTGGCTTAGAGGAGACATGCCCACAGTGAAAGGAGCTGAGGTTTCCCTCTTAAGCTGTTTGGACCAGAGTTGTTTATCTGTGGCCACTAAGCAGCACCCAAATGCCTCTGAGTGGAAGAGATCAGCTACTTCCACAGATCCTTTCCACCCTTCTGAGGCAAAGAGCTCTGAGGTTTTCCTGTGGGCCACTACAGCTCATCCACATTGCCAAGTACTTGGTCAGCTGAAAACACATTATCCAGTGCTCTTAAATGTGAGGTGGGGTATAGTAGGCCAGGTACACCAGGCAGACCAAGCTCCACTCTTACACAGTGCAGGTGGCTGTGGAAGAGATTTTCTGGAGCTTCAGTGACTCTGTATGTAGAAACTCAAATGCTACATTTGGTCCTGAAGCTTCTCTTTAAAAACTGAGGGTGTGTTCAGCATATCAAGGCTGATAGGCAGGATGGGCCTCAAAAATAACTCAAAAAGCACCTAGGAAGTATAAGCCTCATACAGAGTTGTACTCTAAAGCAGGATTTTCACATTTTCTGCAGGTATGCATTTTCCACCCATACTGTTTTCTTAATCTTACTCTCTCTTTCCCACTCTCTCTCTCTCACCAGGACATGTCTGAAAGTGTCTCTGTTTCCATCTGCTCCTACAAAGCATGTGAGATTATGTGGTTTACCCCCTGCCTACATTTCCAGAGCCAGCCATATCAGGCAGCATAACCTGGAGGATATAATAGGGTAGAGGTAGAAAGGTGAATATGATTGCTTGTGAGTATTCAGGGCTTAGGAAAAGTAAATGAGGAGACTCTACAGACAGCTACAAGACCACTGTGGTCTTGGCACACATTGGTAAAGGTATGTTGTTCCGGACCACCTGGACAACATGGTGGGTGATGAAATATAGCAATGAGAGCCAAGTTGTTGGGACAGGTAACAAATATAGTCATAGAAATGATTACTGTAAAAAATATCATTGACTAAATTACAAAAATTAATTATTTTAGCTTTGAGCGACCGTAGAGGTGGTAGAGAAAATAGCAGGTGGATTTTTTTTTTAAAGAGCAATGTTACATTGTCATGGATAACATTAGTATTGCTGTTTAAACACATTTCTTTGCTCCACAGATTTGAAAAGCACAGACCACGAAGTAGGAATCCTTGTGCATGGCCACAGGCAAGCCCAAAACCTTGTCTTGCTGAGCTGCAAGTACCAGATTATCTTTTCCCAAGTACTTTTGAAGTCACTGCTTTCTGTCTTACAGTGCCAGATTCTGCTTCCTTCTTTTTTCTCATCAGCATTTTTAGTTTTCATGTTGAAGAATCAAAAGCATCATTTTGCCTCCCCTTTTAACTGCTATTAATATACACAATGCTTCCCAGGAAAACTAGAGTCCTCCAATTTACTTACTTTTATAACCTCAGTCATAATATTCTGAACTACAATCAGAAATATAACAGTAACCCAACAGAATGATGAAACACAAGAGTCTTATGGCATAGAGAAAGTTGCTTTTGCCTATGGATCAGAATCAAAATACTTGTTACACGGGTTTTGGAAGTTTTAACCTTGGTCACATATGCATCTCATATCTTACATGATATAATACATTGTCTTTCCAATTTTAATACAAAAAGTCAAGAGATGATTTATCTTGTTAGTCTGCTCCTGTAAACTTCTCAGCAAAACCTAGTTTTGCTTCCAGTCCTGCCTTGACTGCACAATGAAATAAGGGACCCAAACAACTACCAGTGTCTTCCCCTCTATTGATAATACTTCTCTTAGAAAACTTTCACTTTTGTCTTGTATTACTTTTACTCTAACAGTTCTGCATATATCTTTGGAACGCTGTCTTTACATGAATAATAGAGGTTCATAAAATATTCACGTTCAATATCTATGCTAAGACATACTGAGAGGATTTTCAGCTCTTGTCAGGGTGTCTATGGGAGGGAGAATGCTTGATTTTGTTCCAAATTTTTATTAGTTTGATATGTAAAATTAAACTTTATAATACATTACAGTTATTTGCCTGCACTGTGTAAATTACACTATATTCATTGTGCAGACTGAGGATGTCTCTATACTGAATATCATTTAGTTGTAAAACTTACCCCAAATGGTCTGTGTACTTCTCTGCTGTGTCAATTATATAAGGATTTCTGCATGCAGGAATGCAGACTGATGTGCATAAATTACATGGAAACATCTGGCTTACAGGTACAAACTAGAGAAAAACTACTAAAAAGCAATTGCAATGAACATTTTTGCAGATTTAATAATTGATGCCAAAGCATCATAAAGCAGCCACCTGCAGCTACAAAATATACACAGCTTGTATTTTGTAATTAATCAACAGTCTTGTTGTAGCAGTCCTGCTGTAACACACTGATGGGTGTGTGCAATGTCATATTTCCATCTATTTATTATGTATAGTCCATAATGATTCCTGTTTGGACTGACAAGAAACTGGTCCCTGATTTTGGTTTTTCTAGACAAAAGTAAGTTAACAAAGACCGGGACCTCAGAAGGTCAAAGACCTGTAATCGAGCACAGCAAAAAGCAAGTATGCTCTACCTGATATCTGCACAAAATATCAAACCAATTGATGAGTTCCAAATTTCTGTACTTCCTAAGCACTCTCAAGTCGAGAAGCCAGGAGTCATTGACAACAGAATTATAGTGAGAACGTCAATGATATTATCTAGAGATTTAAGATGGCCTACTACAGATACCTCAAAGCTAGCTTTATATTCTAAAGGCATCCAATTCAGGGAGGACAATGCCAGATATTCCCTCTTCCCAGCATGCCCCCCCCAACACTTAGCAAAGGCATGACTGCACAGGGCATCACATTGGCCTAGCCTTTCCTCTGTGCTGTGTGGTGCCTGGAGGCAGTTACTACATTTTGCACTTTTTTCAGTTCAGGAAGTCTGAAATGACAAGAGGGGCTGCTGGAGCAAAGCTTTCATCCAAGGTGCCAGGGCACATATTGTAATACATGCTGTGTAATACATGCCATGGGTCAAGGCTAGGGGACATACAAGAATGTGCAAGGACATGAACTCAGCAATAGGGCAGTATCAGAGACCTGACATGACCCTCTATGTGCTGCCTATGGGGAGAGGTGCCTTAAGCGAGCATCTAATTGCCCAGAATCATGCCTGAGGGCAATTAGTTGGTTTAGCACCCAAAAAAGAAGAAAATTTACAGATACGCAGCACTCGAGCATGTGAAAATTTATGATTGGTTCAAAAGAACGCACCAGAGGACAAAGCATACACCACTGCTAAACCCACTAATGAAAGGGATCACAAGAAGTGTCATTGCATGGCTCAAGGGCAATTCATTTGCAGTATCAAGTATGCTCTTGCATCCAAAGAAAGCCTAAAAGGACTACAGCTCCAAGCCAGCTCTGACCAAAACCTGGCAGGACTGCG